TCATCATCATCCATCATCCATCATTCATCATCATCATCCTTCTCCTCCTCCTCCTCCTCCTCCTCATCATCATCCCCCTCCTCCTCCTCCTCCGCCTCCTCCTCCTACTCCTCCTCCTCCTCCTCCTCCTCCTCCTCCTTCTCCTCCTCCTCCTCCTCCTCATCTTCCTCCTTCAACCCCCTCCCTCCTCCTCATCATCTTCATCCCGCGCTGGAGACCGCCGCCAAAGAACTCCTAAGGACCCCTGGAGACCTCCACAGACCTCCCGGGATATCTTGAGACTGCTGAAGCCTTCCAGAGAGAAGGAGGGGGAGGAGGAGGACAAGGACAAGGAGGAGGAGGATAAAGAGGAGGAGGAGGAGGAGGAGGAGGAGGAGGGAGGAAAAGGAGGATGAGCAGGACGAGGAGAAGAAGGAAAAGGAGGAGGAGAAAAAGGAGAAGGGGGAAGGGGAGGAGCGGCAGCAGGGCCAGAGTAGACCTAACACACGCCACCGATGCTTCATACCATCCCTCCCGCCCCGAGTCCCTGGCTCGTGCGCCGACAAGAAACCGTCAGGACCCATGGAAATGCGAGCACCCGCCCGGAAATGTGCGGCCCCCACGGACCTGCATCAGGGAAACCGCACCTGCATTGAAACACGGAATAACGCTTCAACCAGAACCGACAACATGACGCGACGACGAATGCTGCCAGCGCGTGGTGCGAGGCGGGAATGTGACAAGATCCACCGCATACGGAGCCGATGTCCTGGCTGCCCCTTGTGTCGACGTCAGCACGATATCGCGCCCGCCCGAATCACCGATGCGCACTCAAGCGCCCGCGCGCAAGGGCGGCTTTGGAGAAGCGCTGGGACGTTCCCATGGGTAAGCGCCATCGCGGCACCCTCGGTTGTGGCAAACCAGCTGGCCGCTCCGCCGGCGAGATTGCACGCGTTTGCGCAGCCGCAGAGATAAGCCAGCCAGTGCCAAGTAGTCACCTCAATCGCGGCCGCACAGGTAGATCAAAACGAATTGCGGGTGGAAGGGTAGGATGATGCGCAAAGTGTGGAATCCCACTGCCCCTTTGGGGCGTGGTCGCTTCTTTTTCCAACCCCCTTCTTCCCATCCAGGAGAAGATTAATCATTATTCCCGATTAACAAATACCCTTTCCCCCAGGCGACCGGCAGCCAACCAGGACCAACGCGAACCCCACCCCACCCACGCATCCCTGTCAAAACACAATACGAAGCACACTTTGGGGCAAATTCTTGGGTCATGCTCGTGGGCCCCGCGAGCACTTCGTATTGTTTTTGAACGGCACGGCGGGGGTGCCCTTTTATTGCCCGCTTTGCGCAAGACCACCACCCCTGTCGAAAAACCATACAAAATGCACTTCACGGCTAAATCTGGATCATGCGTCCACCACGCGATCACTGCCCACTGGTGTTTGCTGTGCGCAGGCCCACCAGACACAATGGTACCTGGCGCACCTGGAGCGCACCTCGCACCTGGAGGGCACATCCAGCGCACCTGGAGGTGCCTGGTGCACCTGGTACGCGTGGCGCACTTCGCCCCATCGAGCACATGTGGTCTGCACTGGTTCTCAGTAGCTGTCCATCCATAGACGACCGCTGAGCATCCTGAGGCCCGGGTGCAAGTTATGTGTTGGGAGGGCGGATGGGGGGGAGCGAGGCAGCTTGCGGGCGGGGAGGGTGTCTTGATCACTGCTCCTTATGAACATGCACCCCCTCCCCCAGGCGACTGGGGGCCAACCAAGCACCACGCCGATACCATGCCCACCCGCCCCCCGCCATCCCTGTCAAAACACAATACAAACCGCAATCGGCTTCCACATTTGGAGCATGCGCGGCCAACCCGATGCGGCCAACCCCCACTATCCATGTCAAAAACCAATGCAAAGTACACTTGAGGGCCAAGTCTTGCGTCATGCTCGTGAGGCCCGCGAGCACTTGTTCTTGTTTTTGACAAGGACGGCGGGGGTGTCAGCATATCACCTGCTGTGCGCAGGGCTACCATCCCTGACAAACAAAGAATGCACCTGGGACGGCGGGTGTGGTGGCGCATGACCTGCTGTGCGCAGGCCCGGCTGACACGATGGGCACCGGTTTTCGACAAGGAATGCGGGGGCCGACATGTTTCCCGATGTGTGCTGTCACGTACGCAGGCGCACCAGACGTACTCTGCACGTGCCCCGAACGCGGCGCACCTGGCGCGGCGTCTGCGGCACACCTGGCGCACTCGGAGCACGTGGCCAGGAATGCCTGGCACGCTCAGGCCCCAGGGGTGCCTGGCGCGCGTGGCGCCCCTGGCACGCGTGGCGCACCTCGCCCAAACGTCGCGCACCTGGGGTCGGCTGGCTTTGGTTCCCAGAAACTGCCCATCTAAAGACGACCGCTGAACTTGCTCAGGCTCGGGTGTTACTTATATGTAGGGAGGGCGGGTGGGAATGAGCTAGACGGTTTGCTGGAGGGTGGGTTTCTTGACCCCTACCCCGACCCCCTCCCCCTAGACTTGGGCCCGGGGGCGGCCGCGAACCATGAGAGCGTCCAAGAAGACCCCAGCGAGAACGCCCAAATCACTGACTTGACTGAGGTGTTGGCCCAATTTGGGGTTCCTTGATGGGTGGCCCTAGTTGAAAACCCCTGTATTCGATCGATCACCTCCAAGCTGGCCCCAAGATGGCCCCCGAGGCTCTCAAGAGCGCCCCAAGAGGGCCCCAAGGGGCGCCAAGGAGGCCCAAAGATGTTCCCAACAGACCCCCAAGAGGCCTCAAGAGGCTCCCCCGAGGCACCCAAGACGCTTCAATAGGGCCCCAGGACCGCCAAGAGGCCCACAAGACGTCCCAACAGGCCTACAAGAAGCTCTCTAGAGAAATCCGAGGAGACTCCGAGAAGCATACAACAGGCCTTTGGCCTTTCTGTTCGCCCTCCTCCTCGTCTTCCTCATCTGCCTGATCCTCCTCCTCGTCCCTCCTCCCTCCTCCCTGCTCCGCCTTCCTCCCCCATCCCCATCCCCCTCCCCTTCCTCCTCCTCCTCCTCCTCATCCTCCCCTACTCCTCCCCTCCTCCCTCTCCTACTCCTCCTCTCCGCCTCCTTCCACCTCCTCCTCCTCCTTTTCCCCCTCTGCCTCCTCCCCCTCCTCCTCTTCCTCCTCCTCCTCCTCCTCCTCCTCCTCCTCCTCCTCCTCCTCCCCTCCTCCTCCCCTCCTCCCCCCCTCCTCCTCCTCCTCTCCTCTCCCTCTCCTCCTCCTCTCTCCTCCTCCTCCTCCTCCTCCTCCTCCTCCTCCTCTCCTCCTTCCTCCTCCTCCTCCTCCGCCTCCGCCTCCTCCTTCATCCTCCTCCTCCTCTCCTCCTCCTCTCCCTCCTCCTCCCTCCTCCTCCTCCTCCCTCCTCCTCCTCCTCCTCCTCCTCCTATTAGTATTATTCTTCTTCTTATTATTATTATTCTTCTTCTTATTCTTATTATTCTTATTCTTCTTCTTCTTATTATTATTATTCTTATTCTTCTTATTCGTCTTATTATTCTTCTTATTCTTATTCTTCTTATTCTTATTATTCTTCTTATTCTTCTTCTTATTCTTCTTCTTCTTATTATTATTATTCTTATTATTATTATTATGCTTCTTATTCTTATTATTATTCTTCTTCTTCGTATTATTATTCTTATTCTTCTTATTATTCTTCTTATTCGTCTTATTCTTCTTCTTATTCTTCGTATTACCCTTCTTATTCTTATTATTATTATTCGTCTTATTATTCTTATTATTCTTCTTATTCGTCTTCGTAATATTCTTCTTCTTCTTCTTCTTATTCTTCTTCGTCTTATTCGTTTTATTATTCGTCTTCTTATTCGTCTTCTTCTTATTCGTCTTATTCTTCTTCTTATTATTATTATTATTCTTCTTCTTCTTCTTATTCTTCTTATTCTTCTTATTATTCTTCGTCGTCTTCGTCGTCTTCTTCTTCTTCTTCGTCTTATTATTATTCTTCGTATTCGTCTTATTATTCTTCTTCTTCTTCTTCGTCTTCGTATTATTCTTCTTCTTCTTCTTCTTCCTCTTCCTCTTCCTCTTCCTCTTCCTCTTCCTCTTCTCTTCCTCCTCCTCCTCCTCCTCCTCCTCCCTCCTCCTCCTCCTCCTCTCTCTCCTCCTCCTCCGCCTCCTCCTCCTCTCCTCCTCCTCCCTCCTCTCACTCCTCCTCCTCCTCCTCCTCCTCCTCCCGCCTCCTCTCCTCCTCCTCCTCCTCCTCCTCCTCCTCCTCCCCTTTCTCCTCCTCATCCCCTTCTAGTTTCTGCTCCATCCTCACATTCTTGCGGTACAACGGCTTCCCAGCCTTCATTCCACTGCGTGCTCCCCCAAATTCATGATCAGGGCAGTTCGCCTGGGCATTGTTTCTGGATGGGTTGGTGGGGTTACTTGTTGCTCGCAACCGCAAGCGGGAGAGCCGCGCGGCGTCGTTGAATCGCTCGAAGGCCTAAAATACGGCCAGGATCGAGGCCAGGCAGGACAGCGGGCGAGCGGCCGAAAAATGCAAGCGAGGCGGCGGGCAGCCAGCCAAGAATGGCGACCTAAACTATACGAAGCCAGAGCCGAAGCCGAACGCGGGCAACGAAAATGGCAGCTACGCACCTGGCCTCAAACGCCGCACAGAAGCCGGGGACAATCGAGCGTCTAGAACTGACGACACCAAGTTCTGCAAGGTGGGTTACAACTCATATATTACACCACCTAGCTTGTGCCAAGTGTTTTGCAGGGCATCGAATGCGAAGTGTACGCTGCAACGCACAAGATACAACATACACAAGGTTTCACCATCAAGGCTGCACGTCGAAAGTGCAAGAAACCATTATGTTGGATCCGCAGTGTCAAACATGTTGATAAGGGGCCTCCCTCCATATGTTAAACAGTCTGGCGCCTCAAGGTTCACAGTCATGACGCCAGCGTGTGAACCCAAGCCAGTGAGTATATGCCGTCCACGCGCTCTAATACACGGGATGCACTCTACGCGGTGCACCTTCCAGTCAACACGTGCACGAAGAACGCACGACAAGGGTGCAAGGGCCTTGGATAGCCATGTTGACCATTTGCGAGCGGGGCGCGGCCAGCGAAAGCGGCCAGGGATGGGCCGAAGAGGAAGGATGCAAGGGTAACCCTGGAAAGTCGTTAATTCTTACTATGCGGGTTGACTGTACGCAATATATGTATATACATTATATGTATACATGTTCAAAGACCTGCGCATGCAAATGTAGATGTAATGAGTGCCGCTCAGTGTACGGAGGGCGTTCCTGGGAGCGGGACGCGCTCTCTGCAGGAATCCAGGCGGTCACCAGAAAGTACAGCAGCGGGGGCCAGGGGGGGACATCGGACATCGGACATCGGCCTGCATCATGCACCGCGCGGGTGCCGCAGGGTGGGACCGAAGCACCCAACACAAGTACAACCACGGAGGAGGAGGAGGAGCAGCAGGAGGAGGAGGAGGAGGCCAAGGGGGAGGAGGAGGAGGAGGAGGAGGAGGAGGAGGAGGAGCAGCAGGAGGAGGAGAGGAGGCCAGGGGAGGAGGAGGAGGAGGAGGAGGAGGAGTAGGAGGAGGAGGAGGAGGAGGAGGAGGAGGAGGAGGAGGAGGAGGGGGGAGAGGAGGAGAGGTAGGAGGAGGAGGAGGAGGAGGAGGAGGAGGAGGGAGGGGGAGGGGGAGGAGAAGGAGGAGGAGGAGAAGGAGGAGGAGAAGGAGGAGCAGTGAGAAAATGTACTCCTCATCGCAATTGGGGGGAAGGGCCAGGAGGGAAGGCCACGGGAAGCCTCTGAGGAGCACGCAAGAGCCCAAGCGGACACAGCAGAAGGCGAGCGCGCACAGGCAGAATACAGCAGGAAGGGATGGCGAAGGAATCGACAAGATCTCGTGGAGTCCAAGCAGCCGCCCGGAAAGTGCGGCAACCAGGGCCAAGGGAGGGGAAGCCACAGGAAGAGCAGCCATAGGAACCCGTAGAAAGCCAAGTGGCCACGTTGCGAAGCAGACTGCTGTTGGAATTGGATCGCCCTTGACACATGTAATGGTAGAAGCTTCGAGAAAACGTCCGCGGCGGCGAAACGAGAGCACGAATTCGAAAAAACGCCCCCCCATTCCCACTCATGGAGTTGCTGGGAGGAGGGGGAGGAGGGGAGAAGGACGCGGAAAAAGAGGAGGGTAGGAGGAGGAGGCCAAGGGGGAGGAGGAGGAGGAGGAGGAGGAGGAGGAGGAGGAGGAGGAGGAGGGAGGAGGAGGAGGAGGGAGAGAGAAGGAGGAGGAGGAGGAGGAGGAGGAGGAGGAGGAGGAGGAGGAGGGGGAGGAGGAGGAGGAGGAGGCGGGGGGGAAGGAGGCCAAGGGGGAGAAGAAGGAGGAGGAGGAGGAAGAGGAGGAGGGACGGGGAGGGGGAGGAGAAGGAGGAGGAGGAGGAGGAGGAGGAAGAGGAGCGACCTCAGCTCTTGGAAAAGCCCAGTACCAATACCATAATATGTACGCGTTCTGATTCTAGGGAGCAGCCATAATCACGATACCACGGGAACCCACAGGAATGCTGGAGGTCACCACAAAAGTGTGGCAGTCGCCATACTCCCTCATCCGACCTCCTTACTCCTACTCGTTCCTGTCCCTCCCCCTTCCACCTCCTACCTTCCTCCTTCCTCATCCTCCTCTCCTAGCCCTCCCCCTCCTCATCTTCCTCTTCCTCCTCCTCCTCCTCCTCCTCCTCCCGCTCCTCCTCATCCTCCCTTCTCCTCCCTCCTCCTACCTCTGCATCACTCCTCCTGACTCCCCCATTCACGCTTCACTCCTCACTCCTCCTCCCCCATCATGTTGCTGCTCCCCCTCCTCAGACCAGAACCCGCTCAAATCAACCCCCAGACCCCTCACGGGGGCCATCCTGGCAAGCGTTCATCTGGGGCCGATCGTCCGCCCCAGAGACCGAAACAAGCCTCCAGAGACCGAGATTGGCGCCCAAATTTCGCTGAACCTCCTCGGGGTCCTCGAGGATCTGTTGCTCCCGCCGCTGCTTTTCCGCCTCGGCCTGGTCGATGACCCACTGCTCCTTCGCCCTCTTCTGTCTCCAACGGCCGTTGCCGCCCACCAGGTCGATCTGGCTCAGCGGGTGGACAAGCTTGACCTGAAACAGGGGAAGACGAGGACAAAAAGAACGACGACGATGACGATGACGACGACAACGACGACGACGACGACGACGACGATGACGACGACGGCGGCGGAGGCGGAGGCGACGACGACGACGACGACGACGACGACGGGAAGGGGAGAGAAAGGAAGATATAATATGTTATGATATCTATACGACCGCCCTGCGGGCGATAAGGAGATTCGGGAGATTGAGATCAAATGCGCACCCTGAGTGACCTCCAGCCTGTCACCTTGATCTCATCTCCCTGTGGGAGAGAGGGACTGGATAAGGTATGATAAATTGGATTGGAAGAGATGGATTGGATAAGATAATACATATTGGGTTGGCCCGCCGCAGGCGCAGAAACAAAGGAATTGATGGATTGGGTTGGATGGCTTGGATTGGGTGGGATAAGATAAAATGGGACAAAGTGGGTTGGATAAGATAAGATGGGTTGGATTGGACAAGATATATTGGATAAGATAAGCTGGATTGGATAAAAAGGCCCGCCACAGGCGCCGACACAAATGAATTCATGAATTGGATTGGGTGGATTGGATTGAATGGGATAAGATGGATCGGATAAGGTAAGATGGGTTGGATTGGAAGAGATGGATTGGATAACATAAGATGGATTGGATTGGCCCGCCGCAGGCGCAGAAACAAATAAATTGATGGATAGGGTTGGGTGGATTGGATTGGGTAGGATAAGATAAGATGGGACAAGATGGGTTGGATAAGATAAGATGGGTTGGATTGGACAAAATAGGTTGGATCAGAGAAGCTGGATTGGATAAGAAATCCCGCCGCAGGCGCCGACAAAAATGAATTATGAAATTAGCGACATGCGTTAGCGCTTGGACGCCCGTTACACCCGGGACACCCAGGACACCGCCCGGCCCAACTGGGACACCTCCCAGCCACCGGCGGACGGGAAACGGACTTTCGCTCCTACTGACACCCGGGGCGCCCAGGACACCGCCCGGCCCAACCGGCCACCGGCGGACGGGCGACGGACACCCGGGACACCCGGGACACCGCCCGGCCCAACCGGCCACCGGCGGACGGGCGACGGACTTTCGCTCCTACTTCGGCCTAGCTACAGGAGGATCACGCGCAGCTTCGCCTCGCCCGCACGCACGACACGAAACCGAAACCGATTTCCCGGTGGGGGGTCTCCGCTTCACTGCGATCACACACCCCAACCTCCGATAGTATGACAAGGCGTGGCATGAAATGTCGTGGTACGATGTGAGATGACATGCTACGATCCTATGTGATACGTTACGATGTATGTGGCGTTATATGTTGTGATGTGGTATGCTGTGTTGTGGCAATATATGATACAGATACGACCGCCCTGCGGGCGATAAGGAGGTTTGGGGGGGAATTGAGATCAAATGCCCAACCTGATTGACCTCCAGCCTGTCACCTTGATCTCATCTCTGTGTGGAATAGATGAATTGGATAAGATAAGATGGATTGGAGTGGAAGAGATGGATTGGATAAGAAGACATATTGGACTGGCCGACCGCAGGCGCAGAAACAAACGAATTGATGGATGGGGTTGGATGGCTTGCATTGGGTGAGATAAGATAAGATGGGACAAAGTGGGTTAGATAAGATAAGATGGGTTGGATTGGACAAGATATATTTGATAAGATAAGCTGGATTGGATAAAAAGGCCCGCCGCAGGCGCCGACAAAAATGAATTAATGGATTGGGTTGGGTGGATTGGATTGGATGGGATAAAATGATTGAAGAAGATAAGATGAGTTGGATTGGAAGAGATGGATTGGATAACATAAGATGGATTGGATTGGCCCGCCGCAGGCGCAGAAACAAATGAATTGATGTGGATTGGATTAGGTGGGATAGGATAAGATGGGACTATATGGGTTGGATAAGATAAGATGAGTTGGATTGGGCAAAATAGATTGGATAAGATAAGCTGGATTGGATAAGAAAGCCTGCCGCAAGCGCCGACAAAAATGAATTGTGAAATTAGCGACATGCGTTAGCGCCTGGACGCCCGGACACCCAGGACACCCGGGACACCGCCCAGCCCAACTGGGACACCTCCCGGCCACCGGCGGACGGGAAACGGACTTTCGCTCCTACTGACACCCGGGACACCCTGGACACCACCCGGCACAACCGGCCACAGGCGGACGGGCGACGGACACCCGGGACACCCTGGACACCGCCCAGCCCAACCGGCCACCTGCGGACGGGCGACGGACACCCAGGACACCTGGGACACCGCCCGGCCCAACCGGCCACCGGCGGACGGGCGACGGACTTTCGCTCCTGAGGATCACGCGCAGCTTCGCCTTGCCCGCACGCACGCACGAAACCGAAACCGATTTCCCGGTGGGGGGTCTCCGCTTCACTACGATCTCACCCCTCAACCTCCGATGATATGACCTGGTACGATATGAGATGATATGATATGATCTGATATGGTATGATATGATATGATGTGATATGATGTGATATGAGATGGTGTGGTCTACTACGATATGATATGATGTGATAGGTTGTGCATTATGATATGATGTCGTTTGATAGTACTTGGCATGATACAACATGATATGATATTGTATACGATGATATGGCACGATACGATATGATACGACATATCGTGGTACGAAAAAGATACGATATGGTACGATACTGTGGTAGACTTGGTAATTGCGATATGCTACGGCACGGTGTGATATGACAACTTACTGTATGGTATGATAAGATATGCGACGTTACGGGAAGGCATGCGGTGGCATGGTGTGTTGTGAAATGCCATGGTCTGATATGCTAATATGTGGTATTACATGGTACGACATAGTTGAATAC